GCCGTGAGACATGGTCGTTGCAAGCAGAAGATATGAAGCGATTACTGCGTTTTGATCACAGATGTCTTCGTAGCATTGCTCGCGTTCAGCGGAATCACACCACCGTGTGATCAATGTTGACGCCAGACGAAAGGTACTAGGCAAGACAGGCAAGTCGATTGATGAGGTTGTGAACCTTAGTCGGTCAAGATGGTTTGGGCATGTTCTGTTCATGCCAAGCCACCGCCCACCTCGACGCGCCGTGCTAGGGGGAGTTGGATTAGGTTGCAAGAGGGTTCAGGGTGGCCAGACCAATACGTAACACCAGTCTATGAAATCTCTGACTGTTGGTCTGAGTCGTGTGGAGAGATGTAGACTGGCTGGCTGGGGTCTACGAGACGACACCAACCAGTGGTGGTGACATGGCTGGAAATCGGTCGCAATGGCACAGATGTACTCACTCTCTGACTTCTTCTAGAGCTTGAATATTCGCACTAACCTTTGTCTTCAAATTGCTTATTCTCTCATATAACTTTGTTTACTTTGATCACTCTTTTTCTATCCACTTGTTGTTTGTGTACCACTGAGAAGTGTGGCAACTTTAGATGATTTACTTGAGTGCAAGGTTCTACGTTGCTTTTATTAGCCCTTAGCTAAACCATGAATAAAAGAAAGCAAATTTAGATCAGGCGTAGTGTTTGGTGATGCACAAGTAGTAATCGTTGTACCACCCAAGATTTTCGTTAATGAGGTTTCAGTTTAGGAGGATCTATGGCGAGAAATTAACCCCTTTTGTCGGTGTTATGATGTGCATTTACAAGTGAAATATTGGCTCATAATCCTAATCTTTTCACTGACTTATCATTGTCCCGTCGCTTCTTGTTCTTAACAGAGTACTTCATACTGCTTTGACCTTTTTCTTCCTTATTTTCTCATCTTTCATCCTAGTACATGGCCGCCTGATGCTCTTATATGAGCCTGACCGATAGGCTGGTACCTCGACCTCAATGGTCGGGCCTGTGTATCATGATGACCCAACTACCTATGCTGATGGAACGCTTGTTTCCTCGAGGTCCTACCCTTACCCTTAACGTGTTCTTAAACAATGAAATGATGCATTATGACACTTGAAATTAGTCATCAGTGGTTAGTAGTGATCCAAAATCACAGGACGTATGTTCGCCACACCTATAATACAGGCCAATTTTTGTGGCATCAAAAAGGCCGTACGTAACCGGCCTCTATTATATGTCCCCTGGGCTCTGCGATCGCACACTAACCCACCTTTCCGAACACCTCAAGAAAACCTTGTCTTTCGCGGTATGAGCAGCAGGTAAGTGTAAATCGCACCCACACAACTCTGTCAGCTCTCAGATGATGTTGATATGAGGTGTGGCAACTTTGACCGCTACACAGTAATGTCAGTTCACATATTAGTGTTTACCGACTGACTGACTGGCTGACCGTAGTTGCGAGGATCTGGGATAATCATTTATTGAAGATACGAGGGTTGTTACAATCCAATCCAAATGAGTCAGAGTAAAATCAGAAGACAGGTATTTAATTCACTGAAATATGTTAGTTAAAACCAACACTAGAGAGAACAAGTGACCTTGAAAGGCAAAAGATATGTAGTACATCACTAGTCGCAGAAGGCGATCTAAACACTGGTAGCTATAAGAAATGTAAGCCGTGTGGAAGAAAAATAGTAGAAATAAAAAGAACTTAACAAGTACACTAGGTAAGTAAGAAAAGTGAGGGATATGGACATACCTAACAAGAAGGTTTGATTTGAGTAACAAGTAACTGGTAAAGGGAACTATTTCTCCTTGCAGTTTTTGCCCATGACCCTACAGACTGCAACTCGAATGCATCAAAGGATGGTTTCTACCATCAAGTGAATAATCTTTACCACATACATATATCAGGCGTCTGGGGTTAGGGGATGGTCGTTTATGTAGTATGTAGGAATTAGTCAATTGCAGATCAAATAAGGAACCTCTTATGCAACCCTGCGCAAGCTATACCCTGGTTCTTGCCAGCACTGACTTCTTACCAAGCAATCGCCATGGCTCCACTAGGCATCCTTTTACTTAAATAAATCACCTTACAATCAGCTACCGAGTACGTGGGTATATTCAAGATTCCCATTCATTCCGGAGCATCTGTCTAAACTCTGGTCATACTTTTATGTGTTTTAAGTTAATCTTGCGTTTTGGTGATCAAACTCGTCTAACACGGGTCAGCGTTAGCAAACTGGTTGCACCTAGTATTGCGACTAAGTACCAACCTGAGTTCGAATCAACGCTACCTGTTGACTATCCGAAAGGCATAGATAGCATCAGCTATGCTTACAAGACTCTACAAAAACGGCGGATAAAATTGCTCGAATCTGATAAACACTTTGGATCTCTGTGAGCTTGCAACTCATTGCAACGCTCATTAGTGTATTCCGGCACCCACCCATACGATGGTGTTTATGAGTCTCTTACAGGACAGACCAAACAGCATTTGATAGGACGGCGAGACCTAGTGATCAGAACATGCAAGTGAGATGGAAGCAGCACCTGTATCTTGCAACCGGCGGGAGCTGTTCTAGGTCTCCTGAGTCCCCAGCAGTAAGAAGCCTGGTGTCAGTGAGACTGTTTGTGATTAGTCGGTATGCTGATGCACATATTTTATAGATGCCTAAATAGCTAGATGGAGCATTTCAAAAAGTAGTTTGACAGACCTGCTGCTCTTGTAACGTCAGCCTCAATGTCTTGTGCTCCCACACTACTCAGCACCAGACCTCATGATAAAGCGAATGCTCATGAGAGACTCCAATTTCTGAATGGCCATAAGACACTCGGCTCGAACTAATTACCCTTGGCTTTTTAAAGATGGAGGTAAGGAAATCTTATTAGCTAGGAGCAGACTGGATTTCTTTCAGGTCGGGGATAAATTGGTCATGTGTCTCGCTCCCGCTAGATACTCGAACATCGTCATATGTATTACAGACCAGCAATCGTTATGGATGTTAGGTCTACCTTTGATTCATTTGACAGAACTATACTCTGAAATCGTCTGTTAGGAAGGGGTGTCCCTGAGAAGTTTTTTAACATCTTAAAAACCCCTTATTTTGACTCCTCACATAGAGTCGAGACTCAAGACTACCTATCCCCATTGTGCCAAACCAATAGTCGGGTAATGTCAGGCTATCTAACTTTTCCATTCCTTCTTAACTTTGCTGTCGATGACGTTTTGGAGACAGTCCTAAAGGAAGTGTGTGGTGGTGTTAAGCTGTTACCGGGTAAAGGAATTTTGGACCGCAAGTTTGCGGATATCCTTTTACTGTGCGATAGCACACAAGCCATTCAAATTGCATTCAGTCAGTTGGTGATCAGTGGGAGGCGGGGGAGGGGCTGGCTTGTTGATTTAGTCTATTGACTTTCATCCATTTAGTAACGGGTTTGAACCCTGCTTTACCTACCGAGGTTTGAGGCGCCAGGTAGTGTCACCAAATCTCACACAATAGGTGTGGCTCATTACCTACTACATGATCGTGTACTTGGTCGCTCAGTGGACTTCACTTGTATTCCGTAGTTTTGTTTTGTTTTAACGATAACTTCAGGATGTCAATTAAATGTCAGTTTATCTGGTAGTACTTTTTTCAGAAAAACTCATTTTTATTCTGAGATTCCATTAGTTCATTGAAGTTATTTTTATTCGGAATCAATCAGTGTGTTTGAAGTGCTGCGTATATTACGTATAGTGGGCCACCGTCTACGCAAACGCATTATATTAGCTGCAGTAAGATTTAGTTGCTAAAAGCTAGGGACTGCACCAGTTGGTGTAAGACGTCTGTCTATGAATATGAAAAATAAATTCTGTTCAAAACGTCATCCAGTAAATTATACTGTCACTATGTTATATCTTACAAGTAATCTAATATAGAATTATACTCCATCACAGTGTCCATGTTTTTTTTTTCTTACACTAATTAAACGCTCTAGATGCTAGGAATCAGCAGTTAGAGGTCCTTAATAAAGTAGTTGAAAACCAATTGCTGTGCTATATTCACTTTGCTGTTTCCAAAACTAGACATCTCGTTAGTTCTAGTATTTTTCTAGTTACGGTTTATTTTACATGATTTTATTTTTTCGTTTGGCTTTTATGTACGGTCGGGAAATTCAACATGGGTTGGACAACTTCTCAAGGTTTTACTTTTTTCTGTTCATATTTTATTAGCTTCATAATTAGTTTAATTGAAGAGCTGGATGAAAATCAATACTTGTTGCTAGTGTGCCATGTATATACTCTAAAAATTTTGTTCTTATGGTGAATCAAAGACACTTTTACTATGCTTCCGTTTTTATACTATTCATTTTTATTATCTCCAACCATGGGGTTCAGTATCTGTTTGGATTTGCTTTTTAATACTCCTGATCATATTTGAGACTGTTAGGCATTCACAAAAGTCTCTGATCACAATGGATATAACTTCGACAATTCTACTTATTTATTCATGATGTTTTTGCCACCATTTGCTAGTAATCTGAAGTGTTGCATGACGTTTTCACTTTCTGTTTCTGGTTTTTGTCATCCATAAAAATTTTAGTATTCACATTATTTATACGTTGTAGCCAGGTTTTTAATTTTATTTCGAAACAAACTGTTTATAGTTTACGTAACTATTTTCGTGGGAAATGACTAGAGGGGAACTGTAATGATCGTTGAAATAGTTCAGATTGAACTGCAGCTCAACACTTGATTGGATAGTAGTTCCCACCTTTGTGCCGTTGATTATTTCATCGGTAGTGGAAAAATTTCAAATAGATTTAATACCAGGCCCTTAATTAGTTGCTACTTGTGGTTGTAGGAAGGCTGGAAATTGTTGCATCAATTCATAGTTACGCAACTCTTATTCTAGGTCTAATGTTTTCCTATAACTTTGTGTTGTCTTTACGAAAGTGATTATTTCCCACTTTAGGTCTTTTATTCATGCATATAACATGAAATCAACACCCTCAACATAACTTATGGATGTTCAGTCAGGTCACTGTGAATGGATAGCTGCGTCTAATACAAACACATCTACCGAAGAACTCATTAGCTCTATTGCTGGTCTAAGTTTCGAAGAAACCCGATTGCTATGGGGAAATAGTGGGTATGCTGCTGTATCTACTCAAGATGTTATGGGGAACCGTCCGCTCCCATTCAGTGCCACGCCATGGGATATTTCTTCAAGTCACGCTACTTCACATTCCATACCAGTGGGGCGTGGCCGCCGTGACAAGCCGAATGGCACAGCTCCGGAGTCTAATCTGAATGACGGAAGCATTCTGATGTCACCAGGATCCAAAGACATGGTGACTTTAGGAATGCAAATGGCAGATCACGTCCTAAGTAACTCTCCAGGAAGTGGAGGTAAGTCATGGTAATAACTATAATTTTCTTTGTAGCTCAGTTTTTCAGAGATCTTTCCGAGAATTTGTCGAGTGCATTTCCTCATCGACCAGCACCTAATTCACTCAGTGGATCTCAATCTATTGCATTAAATTCTTTCCAATACGATTCAAATGGGAGACCAGTGTTCCCCAGTGAATCAGATGGCTTGCATCAAAACCAGTCTCTGCAATCTGCAACTAACGGACTAATTTCAAATTGCTTTAGTCCAGCTCAATATTATTTGCGTCCTCCAACGGCTGCAACACAGTCTCTACAACCTCAAGTACCGTATTCAATCATACCTAACAGGTCATCAGAGTATGTTCATGCAAACAACTTTCCTTCTGATGCACTTAATTGCGAACCGTGTAATCCTGTTCAACCAGAAAACTTGTTACCTTATTTTATTAACGTTCCAACAAATAATGATCCCTCAGCGTCTAACATACCTGCAGAATCTTTCAGTATGTTTACTGGTCCTCATATGAGTCGAGATCAACGTCCATCAAGCCAGTCTGACAACACAACTCAGTTAGTTCCTCTGATTCCTCATCCAGACCATATCAACAGTCTACAGCCTATGAAGTATAATTCTTCATGTGCTAACGGAGAAAATAAAAGTCAGGCATACACTGCTTTCCCAGGTGCTACATTTTCTGGTGTGAATCAGTTGAACACATGCTTGGACTTCAATAGCAATGAATTCTTATCTAACACTTCACTTCTTGGTCAGGTTTCTTTAGCTGGCAATGAAGGTTACTTACCAACAGTTATTCGTTCTAATGGACCGAATTCACAGGATATGAACAACTTTGGAAGTTTAACAAACTTTCCTTCTATGAATTCAGATTTTTATATGAATGGACCTTATAGCGGTCTTGCAGGAAATCGAACAATGGAACATGGACCATCTGAACAGTCTACTAATGGATTAGTTACGAACTCACCCTTCGGTAAACATTTTCTCCCTTAAAACTGTGTTACATGTTTTTGAAAAAGGAAGTAATCAGTACGCGTGGTTGAAGTCTGTGATGCCAATGGCAAGTGTAGTACCTTAGACCGTAAAAAACAAATTTTGAGCACACAGTCTTTCGTGTATCATTCTTAACTTGACTGTTTTAGTTGACAGTATTTGATTATCTACTATACTTGACCTAGCTTCTTGACCTTTTTAAGATATAAGATGGGCGATTGTTAAAGTCATCTGAATACTAACGTGTTCTACATCGCTGTTGCAACTCCTGTGGTATTTGCATATTTCATTGGCATGTTAACAATATTGAGTCACCACGCGCTTCGAAGTTAAGTTTTCGTAACAGCAACAGTAGGACTGAAAATTCTTGTCGTGGTGAAATTGATAAGTAAAGTAACTGACGATCAGCCACCTCAGTGTAATTCACTGATAAAATCAACGTAGAACCTTGCACTCAAGTAAATCATCTAAAGTTGCCACACTTCTCAGTGGTACACAAACAACAAGTGGATAGAAAAAGAGTGATCAAAGTAAACAAAGTTATATGAGAGAATAAGCAATTTGAAGACAAAGGTTAGTGCGAATATTCAAGCTCTAGAAGAAGTCAGAGAGTGAGTACATCTGTGCCATTGCGACCGATTTCCAGCCATGTCACCACCACTGGTTGGTGTCGTCTCGTAGACCCCAGCCAGCCAGTCTACATCTCTCCACACGACTCAGACCAACAGTCAGAGATTTCATAGACTGGTGTTACGTATTGGTCTGGCCACCCTGAACCCTCTTGCAACCTAATCCAACTCCCCCTAGCACGGCGCGTCGAGGTGGGCGGCGGCTTGGCATGAACAGAACATGCCCAAACCATCTTGACCGACTAAGGTTCACAACCTCATCAATCGACTTGCCTGTCTTGCCTAGTACCTTTCGTCTGGCGTCAACATTGATCACACGGTGGTGTGATTCCGCTGAACGCGAGCAATGCTACGAAGACATCTGTGATCAAAACGCAGTAATCGCTTCATATCTTCTGCTTGCAACGACCATGTCTCACGGCTGTTTGACAGGACAGAATGGACTGCAGCGCAGGTATACTCGTCCTTTAATTGACAGGTAGTCGGATATCTTCCTAGCCGGTGCCAGAAATGACGCAGGTTGGTAGATGACAAACGGGTCTTCTATATCCGAGTTAAGATTTCGTCAGCAACCAGCCCATTCGAGCTGATGCAACTACTCAGGTAAGTGAAGTGGTTGACATATTCCACCACTTCACTCCCTGTCAAGAAGCTGGGAGTAGTTGCAGACCAGTCCTGGGGCATCATCTTATATATGACAGGTTCCAGCGAAACGCATGCTGAACATACCCAGATTGCTGCTTAACGCTTTCAGAAGATACTGCATTTTGTCAGCGTCTTCATCTAGCAGGACAATATCGTCTGCATACTCCAGGTCAGCCAGATGTCCTCCAGGGAGTAGGTCAATCGCCGTGAAGTGAGACGTACTTAGGGTTATATCCATTGGTAAGTCTATAACGAAGTTAAACAAGAACGGTGACAGTGAGCATCCCTGGCGGACACCACTTGTTGTTGTCAATTCTGATGACAACTCTGCATAAGCCCTTACCGACTGTGTGAGTTAGAGTAGACAGCTGTGATTAGCGTTATATACTTGCCCGGTACTCCCTTCACAGTCAGACACTGTCGCAACACCTGAAATTCGATGGAGTGAAATGGCACCTTCAGGTCAACAAATGTGGGAAGTGTCGATCGGCAGTAAATATGCCTGTTTCAAAACCTGTCGGAGAGTAGAAGTATTGTCAATACACCCTCGTTGGATTGGCCTGAAGCCTGCCTGGTTTTCTGAAGTTTGCTGTTGTCAAGCGTCACTTAAGCGTCGGATAACTATGGACCTGGAGCCTAGGATCTCGGACACAGTGTTTGTCAAACTAATTCCCCTATAGTTGTCACAGGGAGATTTCTCTCCCTTCTTATCGACCGATATAACGAGTGAAGTATACCAGTGTGATGGCGCTACCTCTGATACCCATACACTGACTAGTATCTTCGTCGCTTTAATTAGCTAGCAGTTTCCTACCTCGATCCTTAAAATATCCAGGTGGCAAACTGTAATGTCCTGCTGCTTACCTCGCATTTTTTCACGTTCGACACAGCTTTGTCAACTTCGACGAGAGTTGGAGGACTGACGTCTACATCCCACTCAGGTTGAGATTGGATGTTGGGCGACTGAAATGTTGCTATGGGTTAGTTGAACGGAACTTCAGAATGTTTTACCCAACGTTCTAGTCATCTGTCCTGGTAGGTTATCAGCATCCTATCGTTTTTGGTGATGGTTTCACTCACCATCGTCTTCTTGTCGGTATCGTTTGTAGGGCGAAATAATTGCCAAGTGTTACCTAATGCTGATGCCTCCTCCATCCTTCTTGGTTTCGTCACTCATCAGTGGTCGTGGTCGACATGAAGACTCTCGGTCAATCTGTTTTAGGTGCTTTCGCTGTTCATCGTGGTGGGAGCCAGCTTGAATCAGTCTTCTCGCATGAATCGGTTTGGATGACATCACGGAAATACATTGGTGTTTGCTATTTTCCGGTTTGTTTGTTACCAATTATCTTTACCACTGTTTCTGCTGCAGACTTAATATTAGGCCAGGTTTCCTCTGGATGAGTACTGGTGTCACGTTCAGATAAATGCTTGGCTGACTTGTCTCTAAATGTGTATTCGGTGGCCTTATGTACCAGCCGAGGACAGATGGACTCCACTGCCTACTGTTTCATGCATTTAGTAAGGCTCAGACGTGCACGATGCGTTACTGCCGCGTGATGCGAGTCCATAGTGGGACTCCACAAAAGCGGCAATCCTCCACCGTATTTCCCCGACAATGTCTAATTGCAATATAGTCTGTGTGTTACCATTTTTTGGTTTGGTGTCGTCAGACGCCATGCAAGACGGTGTCCCTCCTTGTGTTTGAAGCTAGTGCTGGACAGAATGAAGTAGTAGTCAGAACAAAATTGCAAGAGACGATCACCGTTTTCAGTTTGTTGGCATATGATTTTGTAGATGCCTGCAAGGTGCCTTTCTGATTGGCTCAACTTCGCTACTTGAAGGTTAAGTTCGCCTACCATTATGACTACATCTGGACGTTTTACTTTCTGCAGCAAGATCGACAGCTTCTAATAGAATTCTTCTTTCGGATTATCCGAACTACAGTCGGCTGGTGCTTTGACGGAGATTGCGAATAGGCATCGCGTGGTCTCATGATCCTTCGTCATCCTTTTGGATTCATTGAGTCGAACAGCACATAGCCGGCTGTTTACTATAAACCAGTCGAGGAGAGCGCTTTCTGCTCTACGACTCAATGGCCATTGCGTCTCCGATTACTGTAACGGTGAATTTTGAAGATTCACCGCATTGGCGAGAGGAGGTCAATTTAATAACCACACTCGGACCCTGCATACGTGTGTGAGACACAGCTTAGATCCATGGCTTAAGATCGCAGAATTTCGGCTAGCTATGGTTGCTGTCCGATTTGGCATAGAGTTTGAATGTTGCAAGCTCCTATGAGACTAGGAATGAGGTTCCGATGGCTTTGATCGTTTGCACTGGTCGCAGAATGAGAGTTTGGTTAAGGCGCAAGAGGGGAAATCTTTGTCAGAGAACAATTTACCATACCATTCTAATACCAAGGTGTAAGGGGTTTAATATTAGTATCAGGAGGTGAAAACAAGGGAGGAGACTGAGTTGAGAAGGATATGTTATGTTTGATTGGGTCTTGTGTACTGATGGAAGCGTACGAGTGTGACCACAGGGCCCATGGAACATGTGCTTGAGACCTGTTACACACGACCTTTTGCAGGTTGTTGTTCTGAGGTTTGGGTGTTCTAACGTCGTTAGAGAGAACGAACCTATACCACCGACACCGAAAGAGCTGGGAGAGGTATGCTGTTTTCGGGACCGACCTTTTCTAACCCCTCTTTCCCGTTGAGAAGTAAGCACCAGCGTTGCACTGGTGGTCAGTCATCCAAGGGGAACAGCTTACTGCTGTCTCACCTCATTGAGCTAGCAGGTGTATGACTTTGCCACCAGACCCCCCATCATAGTGTAGTAATTTACTCTTCAACTGTAACTGCATTTCGTCTTACCATTATCCGAAAGATATTTCTGGAGCGATAGAACGTTGACGGAACAAGCGTGTTCCACCAGCATAGCTTGTTGAATCACTGTGAGATCAAAGTCTCACCACCAAGGCAAGGTGGCAGCTATCAGCCGGGTTGTGCAGGGCAATTTAAGCTTACATGTTAGAGATCCCGGTGTACGCAAAGTCAGTTTTTGTGGAATTCACCTGATGTGGCTGAAATTCATTCAAAACAATGCTAGTGCTCACAAATCTGTATCTTTTTGAAAGCCTAAAACTGTACTTGTCATGTAAATATTTTGCTGTTGTTTTTCGCCTATATGGTGTATTTCAGTATCTTACTAGTTTGCGGATTTCATCCTTTTGTGCTGTTGCATTCTGTGGTTACACTTTTTGTTAGTCTATGTATCTGTTGTCTACTTTTCAGAAGCGTTCAGATATGTGAGCATGGCTGTTCGGAATTATTAGTTTATCATCAAACTATTAGTTAGGCTGCAAGACTGAAGCACGTTTCCTTCCGACTGGTTTTGGTCACTGATTGTGTCAATCTTCAAAAAAGAATCGAAATCCTTTCTCGACAATCACTGAGGAATCAGCTTGATATCGTATTCTAGATTCCGCAATCATTCGACACCTAACTTATGCTTGGGAACGTCTAACCCAATAGAACGAAAGAGTTTAACAGGTGGTTTTGGTGTGTCGACCGAATTTAAAAGATTAGCATAATGGCACCAAACACAGACTCTTTCTTCACTTGAAGGGGGGGGGGTATTTGGTTGCATCAAACAAAAGTTCTTTCAACTGTAAAGGGTACCTATCACCCCCATCATCCTATTAAAGAGCTAATGTTCTAACACCCATAGTGTTGTTAGAGCTTATAGTCAGCTGCCAGGAGAGACGTGTACATCGTACGATGTGGACTAGGGATGTTTGCTTTTTTTTTTATCAAACGTCGTGACCGACGTACTAGTAGAAGTCTGTTGCGTTTGGTTTTGTGGAGGCCGATCCTTTTGCTAGACATTCTTTGGCCAATTTAGAACTTGCAGATTACATAGTCCTGTTAGACGAAGGTGATGATGAGATGCAGTATTTTGACTACGTTAAATGAAAGTTTAAGTGTTTGAGTTGCTTTCCTCACCTTTCAGATGCTGATTGTTGCTTGATGACTGATCTGTTGCGGTACATCGCTTAATAATAGGAAGGATTACTGAACTCTGACCACTTCATACACCTGAAAAAAACGGCCGTAGTATGTCAGTGAATAACAACTTGTGATCCGGATACAAAAGATTTGATCCACTTCTGCCAACTTACACAACTTTTAGTTTCATGTTGCTTATCCTGGAATTTTTATGTTGATCAGTTTGTGTACATTTAGGATGTGGTGCTGGTAGATGATTTTCAGTTCTAGTTCAACCAAATCCATTTTTAAAATATTTGACTGTGTAATTATCATAGTTTTAGATGGTTTATTCACTGCTTAAACGCATATTCACTATCTTAATGTATCTTCAGGTCATGTACAGTACGGACAGCAAAAATTCCAACATTCAGTTTACCCTCGAGGTGTATCACCAGCTCCTGGAGACCAATCAAGTATGCAACCACCCAATGGACCGAATATGAACAATTGTCCTATACACCCTGCAGATACAATGAACACTCAAACTCCTATGCTCAATACTTTTGTAGGACCACAATTATTGGAGCCTCAATTAATGGGCAATCTCAAGCAGGCAATAACTTTCAAAATTTGTCAGGCAGTGGTTTATACCAGTCTCTTATTCAACCGAAAGATTCTCCTGTACATATCCAAACGCAAACACTTCAGCCAGCTCCGAGTGACCAGCAGCAACAGTCTGCAACTCTATTCGCACATACTTTCCAGTTGCTAGCAGCTGCTGCAGCCTCCAGGAATATGGGTTCTGGAGCGCAAGATCCTCATATTCCTACTGCTGTCGGGTCAAATAATAATGGATCTGTATTCAATCCCGCCGAGTTTGAATACTTAAGACCACCGGGTGTACCCATGGAGGTCCCGTTTACTGCATCCCTACTTCCTGATCATTTTCAGGTACTGTTTCTAATTTAATATTTTGTTGGTGTTTATTCTTTGCTGGTTCGGTTGGAAGAAAGCTCAGGGTGACCAGATGAAGATTTAGCATCAATGTATGAAGTCTCTGACTATTGGTCTTGAGGCGTATAAGGAGGTGTAAACTGCCTGATTGGGGTTCTTGAGACTATAGGAATTAGTGGTAGGAAACCCTAGGTGAAGTGGATAAAAAATAGCTTATATTGGCTCATGCATTCACTCTGACGTCTTCTAAGACTTGAATGTCTCGGCTAACCTCTATTTTTAAATTCCTTCTACTCCCCTACGCCGACTTTAATATCATTCTTTCCCTACTCGTTCTTTGGATGCTGCTGTGAAGTGTGGCAACTTCTGTACGAGGTTTACGTTAATTTTGTCGATCTATCTACCTTGTTCTTTGCTTCATTAGATCCTTCTGTTACACCTTGCTGTTTGATTGATTCTCTCATAAACCCAATCTCTTTGTATCTTTATAAGCTTGTAACACTAATATGACTCCGAAGTACTTTAAAGTCTGGGTTTATTCTGTTTCTCATTAGGTTTCATGAGTATTTAATCAAGTTAAGCAGAGTTTTTGATTGAAATTAAGCTTTGTGAATTATTTCGGTACACTGTAGCTCTTTGTCATCGTTTAGTTCTAGCCTCAATGCATCAGTTTGCGTCAAGCTTTTCCACACATCTTAGAGCGTCTAATGGCACTGTGAACTGTTTTTTGAAACCACTTCAGTGTATACACTGCTCACGTATTAATTGAAAACTTGTGGATACAAGGAATCGAATGGCTACTGAATAAAAGTATATGATTACTCAAATATTTTATCTTTGGGTCACCATTGTACTTAGTACTACTGGCTTGCACTTTGATTTTTATTTGTTGCTGAGTATTTATCGGAATTTTCGTATCTGTTTGACGTATTTATACTCACTATTGTCTATTCATAGAATTTCAAAGAAACTAGTCTGTATATGCGTACGTTTTTCTTTTTCTGGAAAAACTTTGAATTCCTACTTTCTCTGCTCCATAGGTTTGCGTACGGTTGACCAGCTGCAATGTTTGTGGTTTTCTTTGTTATCTACGAACCATTTTACATTTCATCTTTGTTTCTCTTTCTCATGATTCATTTTTTTATAGGCATATGCAAATAATTCTTGTATTCCTGTCAATGCTCCAGGAATGGAAAGTTCTGGACCTCGTCATCCTGCCATTTCTCATAATAATATGGAATTTAAATCGATGTGCTCATCTATTCCTACCGCTTGCCCACCAATCTCATCATCTGCTTTACCTTCACATCAGTCTCAAAATATCTACCCATCAGCTGACGTAATTACTCAGGATTTTCAGCACGCTGGTTTAGGCTACACAGGATTGTCTTCTTTAAATCCGATGGCTGATCGTATGTTCCAACATTCGAGTACGTTTCCGAGACCTGTACCACCAATGTCTTCCAATCGTATGCCTTATATACCTGTAAACGTCACAGATACTCAGTCGCCACCTCGTACTCCAACAATGGGTGGTCCGAGAATTGGTGTACCACCACTTTTACCAAGACCTCAGTTAACGACTTCGAACATGTACGCCTGTCGAAGTAGTGTCCCACCTCCTTATTCTTCTGTACCTGCTCCTCGTTTTCCTTCACGTGGTCCAACTAGTTTCCCGCAACTCAATTTACCATTTATGCCCCCGCCTCTTCCTCCATATCCTCATCCACGTCATTTACAACAACCTCCGCCTGTTCTTCCACCCCCGGGATTTTTGCCGTCAGCACATATACATCGTCCTCATGGAACAACTAGTTCATCTTCTGGTCCGTATCTGAACAATACAATAACTTCAGGCAACAGATCAGTTCAGAACAACGGTGGTGGTAGATTTCCAAAAGACCATCATCATTCTACATCACACCAGCCTAGTGCTCCCGTCCCTATGATGACACTTGCACTTGCTGCATCACAACAACAAGGTTCCGGAGTCTCTCCCAGTTTTGGTATAAGGCATCCATCTTCAAACCATAATTCCCACTTTCAACCTCCGTACTTTGGTTTTTCTGCTGACTCAATTGCAAATACCACTTTCCAACCGAATCCTTCTTATCTTAATCACCCTAATCCGCCATTAGCTGTTAATAGCATTTTACAATCTGGAGTGACGAATGGTGCTACACCGGAGCGTAGTCGATTGTTGGAGGAGTTTCGGTATGTCTACGTCTTAATTTATATTTTTGGCCTCACATTCTTATTCATCATCCATGTAAAATGAGAGGGCTTAACTTGAAAAAAACCTGACAAGCGATATAGCTTTCATGGTGTAACGGTGACTTCCTGCGTTTATTTATTTCTCACGAGTTGTTGTGCTGAATGTCTTATTGCCTTAACAAAACGACTACTTTAGGTTGCTTATATATTGATGAATGCATAAGCTTTGAGGTTGCCAGTTGTGTTCGTTTGCTAAATGAAGTATTTTACGCCTGAACACATGTTTACCTGATGCTGTATTGTGTACATAATTTTTTCCCTAGGTATCTTTTATCGCCCACTAACTGATCATGATTAATCGGAACGGGATTTACTATTTTGTAGTGTACATTTATTTATACTGGGATGAAAGTCTAAGTTGCCACAGACTTCAAACCAGCAGGAGCCAGGTTGTAGCTAATCTGAACTGCTTATTAGATACTGATTTTTTTGCCAACCAGAAATGCTCTCTGTGCTTGTATGACGTATATATGGTAAATTTTTTTTACAATGAATGACATTGGAAAAAAGTTCGCTAGGCTCAAAAGAACCTAGTGTTTCAAAATTTGACTGGTGTGTATTATGATCCGGTGCATGCACACTCTGTAGGTCAAGAGAGGAGGTATTAATTGGTGAGCCCCAATCTCACAACTTTTTTATAGGTCTTTTGTTTCTCGACTGATAAATACCTGCAGAAGTAAGTCAAAGATGTGACTCACAAGAAAGCAGTAGTATTAGGGATGATAAAGGGGGGGGGCGAACTTATTAAATAGCTATCCATCGGTAACCAGTTTTTTTATATAATTGTTTAGAAAATCATCTGAGATCTTAAGGCTTATGTTCAGATGTGAACTGCTTCAAGGTTCAGTCACAGCAATAAGTTTATCGTCAGAAGAATTCTGAAGATATTCATACTTGTTTTGATGAAAATACCTTAAACTATGTGACTATATTGTTTCTGTACAATTAATTGATGGTTTTTTTTGAGAGGGGATATACTTGTTCTCTTCAGTAGTATGTGGTGTGCAAAAAATGGCACCATCCGTAGCACATGTACTCATCCAATCATGAAAGAGCATATGTTTTCGTCTCTTGAAGTTTGGTCAACTAAGTAGTGTCATGAAATTTGACACATTCATTATGTCCCCTGACCTGTAATAAATCAACCTGTACTTGGTTGCTGAATTTCATTTGGTAGTATTCTTTGTTCTGTTGTGTATGTATAAAAAATGGTTACCTGATGGTAGATGACATGAAGATGCTGTCAATATTTCATGAGCGATGTCTTTAAACTGCTTTGTAAAATTGCGAAATGTCTTATTATAGTGCGAGGCGTAAAATTTCTCATCATCCTGGTATGTTTACCGATATGGGTATGGGATATTTTCTACATGCTAACCAATAGAGTATTCGCACACTGTATGCAGAAGAAAGAATACCATCAGTATAGTTATGTGAAACTATGGCGGATGATCATGGTACTTTGACAAGTTGGGAGATTCCTCTCATCTCATCTTATGAAACGCGTTTCTGCTTCCCTGAGCTGTTTTAGCGCAAAAAGGTTGTTCGTTTTTAAAGCTTTTGTTTGTACTCTTCTTATAGATTTCCTAATCCTTGTTCATTATCGGATCCAACGTATCCTAATTGCAATACTTTTAATTTTATTCTTTAGTAATGCTCGATTACCATGTTTAACACTACGAGATCTAGTCAATCATATTGTTGAATTCGCTCAGGATCAGTATGGTTCACGTTTTATACAACAAAAACTAGAGCAAGCCAGTGCTGTGGATAAAACGAGTGTATTCCGTGAAATTCTTCCTCATGCTTACAATCTCATGGTGGATGTGTTTGGAAATTATGTTATACAGAAGTTTTTTGAGCTAGGAACACCAGAGCAGAAGCAAGTAAGTTTAGATGGTTGGATGCAAGTTATTTCATGTTGTTTACCAGCACTTCCCATTCTTAGCCTTATCGATTTATTATCACACCCAGTTCCTGCGTTTATCTTGTTTACTTTTGTCATCGCGACAATTGTCTAATTCACGAGAAAATTAACGGTAAATTTCAAGTATGCACATGTATGCACAAATGGGACTTGTGAGTCCGAGCTGATATTTCGTCAGCAACCAACCCGTTTAGGTTGATGCACCTGAGGTTGTATACTAATAGCACATCCATAAGAAAAATTTAACTTGAAACGTAACAAGGGATTTCTAACGACACCACTGATCGTCGACACCTCAACTTATGACTCCCAATAATCTTTTACACGGCTGCGTGAGTTCGAGTAGAGAACTTTGAGTGGCGTTAAATATCTGCTTGCTACACTCGCTACTCTTAGATACTGTCATAAAACTTCATAGTTGACTAAGTAAAATGCCATCTTCAGGTCAACAAATGTGGGAAGTGTCGATCGGCAGTAAATATGCCTGTTTCAAAACCTGTCGGAGAGTAGAAGTATTGTCAATACACCCTCGTTGGATTGGCCTGAAGCCTGCCTGGTTTTCTGAAGTTTGCTGTTGTCAAGCGTCACTTAAGCGTCGGATAACTATGGACCTGGAGCCTAGGATCTCGGACACAGTGTTTGTCAAACTAATTCCCCTATAGTTGTCACAGGGAGATTTCTCTCCCTTCTTATCGACCGATATAACGAGTGAAGTATACCAGTGTGATGGCGCTACCTCTGATACCCATACACTGACTAGTATCTTCGTCGCTTTAATTAGCTAGCAGTTTCCTACCTCGATCCTTAAAATATCCAGGTGGCAAACTGTAATGTCCTGCTGCTTACCTCGCATTTTTTCACGTTCGACACAGCTTTGTCAACTTCGACGAGAGTTGGAGGACTGACGTCTACATCCCACTCAGGTTGAGATTGGATGTTGGGCGACTGAAATGTTGCTATGGGTTAGTTGAACGGAACTTCAGAATGTTTTACCCAACGTTCTAGTCATCTGTCCTGGTAGGTTATCAGCATCCTATCGTTTTTGGTGATGGTTTCACTCACCATCGTCTTCTTGTCGGTATCGTTTGTAGGGCGAAATAATTGCCAAGTGTTACCTAATGCTGATGCCTCCTCCATCCTTCTTGGTTTCGTCACTCATCAGTGGTCGTGGTCGACATGAAGACTCTCGGTCAATCTGTTTTAGGTGCTTTCGCTGTTCATCGTGGTGGGAGCCAGCTTGAATCAGTCTTCTCGCATGAATCGGTTTGGATGACATCACGGAAATACATTGGTGTTTGCTATTTTCCGGTTTGTTTGTTACCAATTATCTTTACCACTGTTTCTGCTGCAGACTTAATATTAGGCCAGGTTTCCTCTGGATGAGTACTGGTGTCACGTTCAGATAAATGCTTGGCTGACTTGTCTCTAAATGTGTATTCGGTGGCCTTATGTACCAGCCGAGGACAGATGGACTCCACTGCCTACTGTTTCATGCATTTAGTAAGGCTCAGACGTGCACGATGCGTTACTGCCGCGTGATGCGAGTCCATAGTGGGACTCCACAAAAGCGGCAATCCTCCACCGTATTTCCCCGACAATGTCTAATTGCAATATAGTCTGTGTGTTACCATTTTTTGGTTTGGTGTCGTCAGACGCCATGCAAGACGGTGTCCCTCCTTGTGTTTGAAGCTAGTGCTGGACAGAATGAAGTAGTAGTCAGAACAAAATTGCAAGAGACGATCACCGTTTTCAGTTTGTTGGCATATGATTTTGTAGATGCCTGCAAGGTGCCTTTCTGATTGGCTCAACTTCGCTACTTGAAGGTTAAGTTCGCCTACCATTATGACTACATCTGGACGTTTTACTTTCTGCAGCAAGATCGACAGCTTCTAATAGAATTCTTCTTTGGATTATCCGAACTACAGTCGGCTGGTGCTTTGACGGAGATTGCGAATAGGCATCGCGTGGTCTCATGATCCTTCGTCATCCTTTTGGATTCATTGAGTCGAACAGCACATAGCCGGCTGTTTACTATAAACCAGTCGAGGAGAGCGCTTTCTGCTCTACGACTCAATGGCCATTGCGTCTCCGATTACTGTAACGGTGAATTTTGAAGATTCACCGCATTGGCGAGAGGAGGTCAATTTAATAACCACACTCGGACCCTGCATACGTGTGTGAGACACAGCTTAGATCCATGGCTTAAGATCGCAGAATTTCGGCTAGCTATGGTTGCTGTCCGATTTGGCATAGAGTTTGAATGTTGCAAGCTCCTATGAGACTAGGAATGAGGTTCCGATGGCTTTGATCGTTTGCACTGGTCGCAGAATGAGAGTTTGGTTAAGGCGCAAGAGGGGAAATCTTTGTCAGAGAACAATTTACCATACCATTCTAATACCAAGGTGTAAGGGGTTTAATATTAGTATCAGGAGGTGAAAACAAGGGAGGAGACTGAGTTGAGAAGGATATGTTATGTTTGATTGGGTCTTGTGTACTGATGGAAGCGTACGAGTGTGACCACAGGGCCCATGGAACATGTGCTTGAGACCTGTTACACACGACCTTTTGCAGGTTGTTGTTCTGAGGTTTGGGTGTTCTAACGTCGTTAGAGAGAACGAACCTATACCACCGACACCGAAAGAGCTGGGAGAGGTATGCTGTTTTGGGACCGACCTTTTCTAACCCCTCTTTCCCGTTGAGAAGTAAGCACCAGCGTTGCACTGGTGGTCAGTCATCCAAGGGGAACAGCTTACTGCTGTCTCACCTCATTGAGCTAGCAGGTGTATGACTTTGCCACCAGACCCCCCATCATAGTGTAGTAATTTACTCTTCAACTGTAACTGCATTTCGTCTTACCATTATCCGAAAGATATTTCTGGAGCGATAGAACGTTGACGGAACAAGCGTGTTCCACCAGCATAGCTTGTTGAATCACTGTGATATCAAAGTCTCATCACCAAGTCTGCGTGGCAGCAGTTGGTGAGCCCGTTTGTTGTCTGTTATAAATAGACATTGGGTAGTCTCCTTTTCCTTTCTAGTTCTAGGAAACCTATGAAACTGAAGAGCTCAAGGATGGTCATTTGCTGGTATCCGGTTTTAGCGTGGGCTTTTCATCCTTAAGCCTGGTGCAACGCACATACCAGGGATTTGGGGAAAGCCAGTTTTTGAATTTCAGAACGCTTTTTACGGGATTTTGCGAATTCGTCACATTTCAATATGAGTTGAAGCGAATAACCGCACTCGGTTCTTGTTTGCATGTCTCAGAAGAGCAGCATACATCTATGACTTGAGATTCCGGAGTTATGGTGAGCCATTCTTGTTCTCTGACTCGGCATGGGGTCGGGACGTTGAATGCTCCAACATGGGATCCGTAGCTATATTTTTGTAGACTAGAAATGATGTTTCGCTGGTTTGGATCGTTACTATTGATCACAGGGTTAGATGTTGAAGAGCTTGTAAGAGATTTAATATTGGCATCATGAAGTGAAGGCAAGTAAGGGGATAAAGGTAAGGAAGTAGATTAGTTCTGTTTGTATTTTGTATACTCTTAGAGGCATTTGGGTGGTTGACAATTTCTTGACTCCCTGTACACTGTACCGTGTATTATGAAATCTGGGAGCACTGGATAACCGGTCGTTATAGGTTTACTTGGGACTGTCAGCACCACTCAGCACTTATGTCATTTCGAAAGATTTGTTTTATAGGTGAAACCGTGGTGGTTTTCATGGGATGGATGGGCTCAATCACTTTGTTTGTTTGAGTGTACCCAGCAATTCATCAATACAACCAGATCTGACCAAGGATCATATAGTTATTGAAAAATATGTCTCACGGCATTCACACGCTACTTTCGATTCGAACCAGTGTAAGAATCAATCTGTTGTACTGTATAGGTATTCAAATCTAAGTATTTGAATCACGCTCGAATAGTTTGTTCAGTACACACTTACCGAAGCAGCAGGGTTTTATCATTACGTACATATTATTTGATTTCATGTGCAGTTATTTCTTTTGAACTCGATAATTTCAGCAAAATATTTGACGGCTTATAAAGGTGAAAATCAAGACTTGTGGCAACTTTAAGTTTAGCAGTAGTATGTATTCCATTCATTTCACATTCATCAGGATACGCTTGAAAAACCATCATATACTTATCGTCAGATGAAATATCCAGAGGGACAAAAATTGACTGTTTCGGGTTGACATTTGACAATTCTCAGAAGCGTTTTTATGAAATTACTGAAGATAGGTTTAGGTTCTCTGTCGCCTGAATATGTTGTCTTTCTTCAGTGATTTAGTTAGTACCTGTATGTCATATGATGGGAGCATAAATGCTTATTATTTGTTATCAAATTGTGAATTTAACTAAGTGAGGAAATGCCTCTCATGCTTCTGTCCTTTGAGTCACGTGTATATTCCTTGGCTTATGGTGACTACTCTGTTTATCAGAAATAAATAACAAATATTTATTCAGTGGAAAAGACAATAGGCACTTCTTGGCCTATGTACGAGACTCATATTTTTGGATAATAATAGTTTCAAACACATTAATGATATATTCAGGAAGTTGTACGTCGCAGCTTTTGACTTCAGTAATTCTATAGTTTGCTGCAGCTTTGGTGGTCTAGTCATTGATTTGCTGAGAGGTAACTGCAACGGCTTTTACTACAAAAGATGGTTTCTGTACTGAAGTAAACTATGGTGTTTGTTTATAATGCGAAGTTCTTGCAATTGTAGACGGATGTCAGTTCCGTAATAATCACCAGTGAGTTAGTCAAAGTTCTCATGGGAATCCGTCCCAAAAAGTAGGTCCTGAAAGTATTTGAGGTATTATATTTAGAAAATGTGCAGATATTTTATATCATACTCTTACGGATATCTTCAATGCATCGTTTTCCAAAAATGCAACACCCACTGCTTGGAAGGAGAATATAGTTGTACCTGTGCCTTAGTCATCTGGATCAGATGTCAAGTTTCGACTCATCGCTATAACTTCCGGTTTTTAGAAGACAATGGAGAAATTACCTCTACTTTTGGTTAAACCTTCACTGAAGGCTTTCAGAGATCCGAAACAATTTTCTTACGAACACAGGAGAAGTATTTAGTTGTCGCCATTGTCCTGCATCACAATACTGTTTCTAGTCTAGACAAAGGTGCTACATATGTTCGCTTCTTAGATTACACATCAGTCGTTGACTCTGTTCCTAGACCACTATTGCTAAATAAGTTTTCTGATGCTCACGTGGGGCCATGGGTTAGAAAGCGGCTGCATTCTTATTTTCTTGATAGGAAACATTATAATATTTTTAAACGGAAGCGCTCGACTTCAGTGATTACGGAAGACAGTGTACCCCAAGATGCAGTAATTTCTACGTTTCTGTTTTTCTTTTTGCGTGACTTACCTCATTCTACTGAAACTAATTTTATTAAGTAAGCTGATGATCTGACGGTTTCTGTGCCAATCATCTTTCAGTTAGATTGCTTTCAAATAAATGGATTATTCTTATCTAGAATTAACCAGTGGTTTTGTCTAGCCCTTCTAAATGTCAGAAATTTAGTTTTAGCCTCCGACGCAAACGAGACTAATGTGAACTACTTTGGTTCCATGACTCCTGTTATTATTGATGGCATTGCTGTAAAAGGCTGATTGAGTGCTAACTATCTTGCATTGAGTTTTACTTCTGATGTTTGTTGATCGTTTCATATCGTGTTGACCTCTGAGAAAATCTTTCTTTTAAAGTATTACTCAGAGAAGCTGAGACTGGTATCACTTCGCTTCTACTTGCATTTTGCCTATTTTTCTTTATTGTTCCCCTGTTGTCTTTCCTGGCCTACTAAAATGGGACTATGTTTTATTGCATAAAGCTTTGAAAGCTGTCAGTAGGATAAAGTGGTGCACCCCTGGTCCAACTGATTAACACCCCAGCTGACAGATATTTGAATTCAAGCAGGCGACTGTCTGCAGTCATTTTATGTGATACTGAGCATCCACTTTATTCACGCCTTTCTCCTTGTATGTCCTCAGTTAGGAGAAGAAACAGTTACACGACACTGCACGGTAGTACATCCTCACTTAGCTTGCATCGCGCGCGCGCCCTTGTGTGTGTATTAGAACAGAACTCATCTATCAACTTTGTAACACTAAGTAACCAGTCTTTTCAATACTTCAACAATTTTTGTATAATTGTCATTGGTACTAGTATTATTTATATAGTTTAAAGTATCATATTTACAATATTCGAAATATAAAGGAGTATATACCGATTTTCGCTGCATTACATACAGTGAATTCCGAATTGTATCAAAATTGTTTCGAAATGAGATGAACTCAGCAACGATGTGCAGTGAGCCATACCTAATGCGTGAATGCTGATCACAACTATCTGGCTAGCCAAACCTTAGCAGGTTTGGGGAGGGGTTTGACCTTGTAACCCATTGGCTAAAAGTCACCTACCTAGACCAATGTGAACCAGCACCATATCAAAATTGTTTAATATAAAGTTATTATTATTACTATCATTACTAATTATTGAAAAAGTAAGCAAGAGTGCTAACAGCTGTACCTAATTTCTCGATCGGGATAACTGAGACCGTCGAGGACGAATAAGATCAATGGCAAAATGACACTAGTGTTTTTGAAACGTGAAGTTTTTGATCAACAGCTGAAAGTTTTACATGAGGTACGGGACACTAAAAGTAAATCAAACACTGATCTCCAACAACAAAAAAAACGATGACATACTGGGAAAAATGATTGCTCCTGCTTGACCAAACTAGGTTGAGTGAAAGGAGACTACTGGGATTGGCAAACTTTAACTTCATTGATGACGTCTTAAGTAGTGTTAGTAAGACCGGATAAGAAATTAGAAATATGTACATAGTGCACAACTGTTGCTCGAAAACTAAATATTTTTCGTAGTGTCTACCGTAAGACTGAATTCTGAGAATGCATTGCTAACAACGAATTCTAAGTGAAAATAAGTGTTAGAGGATTTATGTTCACATTAAAGTTTTTATAAGGAAAAAAGAAATTTAGGCTATAATTGTGGTGGTTTGGTACTTTGTGAACTTCGATATCATGACGTTAGTAGTAAGAAAGAATGTCACCAAGGCTGGTGATCAAACGTCTGCGACAAAATATTGGAGTTCAGGAAACAAACCATCCCCATCCTGAGGATTATGGTATATTTGTGCAGTAGACGAATTGTTACTTCAAGTCAAGTTCACTTGCTATGTAATTACATTTAAGTTTCTCTAATAAGTAGTGAAACTTTAAAGTGGGATATTCATAAGTTATCGTAAAGAGTGAACTGACTTTTTTAAGTTTCTACTTAATCATTCAACTATATGAATTCTGAGGGAGTTGTGAAGATTTGGAATTATTTCAAGTTGTTATTCATCGTAGACTGACATCAGTTGGAGGAGTCCCATACTAGGACGAAACAGCTGTCCAGTGCTCCCAGGTTTCCTTTTTTCCTCCAACTGATATCAGTCTACGATGAATAACAACTTGAACTATATGAATTCTATTTTTTCCCACCGTTTAATGTTAGGATTTTCTTTTTTCTGGCTGTCGTGATCATGGCTAACACTTTACTTTCTTGCTTTAAATATTCTCTGTCATATGTGCATAGATACTAGGTCAGAGAATTCGTGGGCAAGTATTATCTTTATCTCTTCAAATGTATGGTTGTCGTGTAATACAAAAAGCTGTTGAATCCGTTCCACTCGATATGCAAATATCAATCATCAAAGAATTGGATGGCTGTGTAATTAAATGCGTAAAAGATCAGAATGGAAACCATGTTGTTCAGAAATGCGTAGAAAATGTTCCTCCAGAACATTTACAGTTTATTGTCGACGCTTTCAAGGATCATGTAAGTAACCTGTAAATTATGCACCTATGGTCGACAAACAACTTTTAACTGTTATAGTTTTATAAGTTTTCTCAAAAGTACTTTACTGTTAAAAAAAAAATTTTTTTCATCCCAATGTTTCTCTTCATGATATTATATAAGAAACAAAATCAGCACGCAACAGGTTTGTGTTGCGAAGATAAATAAACAGTATCGTTTTATTACACACTATCCCATTTGTCAAGGAATCCTCTGTATTAACAGTGCCTATTGGTTTGTTCATTCGACCTCCGATTGAAATATAATGGCTTTGTATAATACCCATTATACAAGTAAATTCCATTGTGAAGTGAGCAAAGTTGTTATATGTTTGTTTCGACTTTTCAACACAATTATTGAAAAATAAAAAGATGTTTGAAAAAGATGAAAGTCAAAATTTTGTCTCAATACACCAAAGACATTCAATATTTATTTCTCTCATCACCGTTTATCCCTTCTGTCAGTTTATTCCCTTCGCAATAATTCTAATGCATATCATTCATTTCCTTTCTTCTTGCTATTGTATGACACTTACCAACTTGAATCGGTGCATAGTAATGCAGCTTTCGCATCTATCTTAAGTTTTAAGCATGTTTCAATGATACATTGTTAGAATATTGTGAAATCGCGTACTCCTATCATTTCTTATGTTTGTTTGGGACAACTGGAACAGCAACTTAGTTATTTGGTTACTCATTTACATGTCTAGCATTTCTAACATTTCTAGCCATGTCGCCAAGAGTCCTCAACCACTGATTTCTTTCGTCTAGGGAACCCTAACCAGGTGGGCTACCTCTACCCCATAGGACTCATACCGACAGTTAAGAGACTTCATGAAGGGGTGCCTGGTCTTGGTGTGGCCACCCTGAACCTTCTTCAAAACTAATCCAACTTCCCCCAGCTTGATACGTCGAGGTGGGCATTGGCTTGACATATGCGCAGTACACCTCCAAGCCATCTCAGTCGACGCAGCTTCACAACTTTATCAATCGAATTGCCTGTCTTGTCCAGCACCTTTCACTTGACCTCAACGTTACTCACACAGTGATTCCTACGTCAATCCCTAAGTGTAGTTGTGTTAAATAAGTTGAAAGTTGCAACATTTTCTAACCAACAGCACTCTAGTTTTATCTGACACTTGTTGAGGAACGAATATATTGTTGGTGTATCCAAAGTCTAAATAAAACCTTACCTTGACTTGTTTAGTCGGCTTCCTCAACAGTTTATAAAGACTACATAGCTCTCAATACCAGAATAATATCCAGTTGATTTGTATGCAGGTTACGATGTTGGGCATTTTTAAAACTCGGTAAAATGATATCTTCATTTGAGGAGAAATATGGCACTAAATTCGTTGTACCATCTTGGTACATGTAAATTATTCTTCAAGTAGAGAGGGTTGTTTATCTTTTCAAAAAAAGCCCATGGATTAAGTCTTTCTCTTGTATGTCAACAAGAAAGCTTTCTGTGAGCAGTACTAGTCAGTTCTAGTCACTAAGGAAAAATTGGACATGTTCTAGTTCAGTAGAATTCATTGTTTCGGAATTATTGTGTTTGACATATCATGTTATAAGAATTTATGAAGTAAATTTTAGCGTATAGAATGAATATTATGGATAACATCAATTTTACTTTGTTATACACTTATTTTAATACATTGATTAACAAGAGTTTTTTTTTTTTTCAGGTGTACTCTATATCCACTCATTCATATGGATGTCGTGTAATCCAACGTATTTTAGAGCATTGTACACCTGAACAAACTACTCCAATTCTCTCTGAGCTGCATCAACACACTGAAGCACTCGTTAAAGATCAGTATGGGAATTATGTGATTCAAGTAAGTAACTTGTCACCTTTTGCTAGTTTAATGAAGCTTAAAAAGTAGACTGTTGATGAAAGTGTCTCTGTGGTTCAAGCTTTTATATACACTGATATATTGGTCTTATGAACTGTTGAATACATCGTTGTCAAGTTCACTTACTCATTTTTCAAAAAATCTAAAATCATACTTCTTTATTCTAAATGGAAATGCTTTTATGTATGCTTATAATTATTATCTTTACTATTGATTGAATAGAATATGTTGTAAGAAACCTTTTGGAACTGATGTTAATGACTTCACTGTATTTTAGATGGCATCTACAACCATGTAAAAAATTGACTGCGTTCCAGATATGCGAAAATGTGTCTCGCATTACTGTTCTTAACTACCTAAAGTCCATTGAAATGCATCACTATACCAACTTCGCCTATTTCTTAACCGCACATTTGTGCGGTAGGCAATGGATCACGCATATATTGAAGGCTAGGGATGCCTTGCTGCCCAAACCTTGGTAGTTGAAGTGGTGCTCGAATCCGTAACCCCACTGGATTGATAGTTATCTCTGTAAACCAATAAGGCATACCTCGATATGCTATAAATCTGATTATTAGAATTCGGTCAGCAAGTAGGACTAGAAAGCATGACATTGATTATTCTCCAGCATCAGTATTGGTAGTAACTCATGTGTAAACAGCTGTTCATTTTTATGTTGTATAGTATTCGCATCATCTATTGTCACATAAGCGTGTGTTTGTTCTTACCTCAGGAAGTGCTATGATGATCCACTCAAAAATCGCTTACAACTATGATATCCTAAAATAAATCAATATTTTGGACCACTACTCCCAAGAAGTGTATGCATGCTTGCCCTCTGGGAATTTATCAAGTTATGATAATAGTCATAGTAGTAAAGTGAAAACCATCCAGATTAATTCATAAAAACTAGGAATAAACTGGTCAAATACTTGAAAGTACTCACAGATTCCAAGAAGTCTATGTTTATGAATATTGGTTTCAATGGTGATACGGTAACAGAAGACATTCTTCTCTGTGAGGCTACAAATCAGCCTTCCCTAATCAGCAATTAGTTCCGGGGTATGGTAAAGAAATGTTACCATATTGGGCCACCTCAGTATGTGTCTGAAAATTTACTTGTTCCTGTGGAGCTAGTCATATAGGCCACATAAAGCACTCACTTTCCAAACGTATATCTGAGCACTATCCTGTATCATTGTCGTGAGGAGAATTTAAACCAACTAACAGTTCAATTCTTGTTAGTTTGGTCAACTTTGGACATACAGCTCCACCAAAGTCTTCCTATAGTGTCATTCACAAAATCAAAGATAATCATGATAACCGGGAAGTTGTTCTAAATACATTAAGTTAGACTTTCTAGTTTATAAGGGAAAATATCCACACAACAGTTTCACTTAGTTTTTAAAACAATATTGTTCACCATAAGACAGTGTGAACAGACAAACAATTAATGTATACTTTGATGAAATGCATTAATTCGACTTATCATACTATTATAACTTTTCAATTCGGTGAAAAAGTAAACAGCAGCTTATTGAATTGTATGGTAAGTGCAGCTGCATTACATGTGCATTTCGAAACGTGTTATTGTCAGCGACAGTGGATATAATAATTTCCCCTTTCCAATTGGTTTTTGTCAACAATTTCTGTATTCCCTGTATTTGATTGATGATCAATACCATGAGTACGGCATCATCATCATTATCAACATAGGACCAGGCATTACTGCGTAACGGTCCGAGTTGCCACACCTCATATCAGCACATCAAGTAAAAAGGTAGTGAGGTGAAGAATGAAGATAAGTGAATGCAGTCAAAAGAAATATAAAGTATGAGAAGAAAGGAAAGAGGAGTGACAAAATAGTGAGATTCGGTATAGCGTTGTTAAGATGAGGATAATGTGTGTATACATCTGCGCCACTGACTTCGGTTCTCAGCCATATCACCTAGGGTCTCCAACCACTGGTTCCTCTTGTTCCGTGGACCCCAACCACCTAGTCTGCATCGTCCTACATGGCTTAAACCAACAGTCAGAGACTTCATACATTGGTGCCATATTTTAGTCTGGCCACCTCGAGCCTTTTTCCAGCCTGGACCCACCTCAGCCAACATTGTGTGACGAGGCAATCGGTGACTAGGCATACGTAGTACGTGTCCCAACCATCTCAGCCGATGAAGGTTCACAACCTCGTCGACTGACTTACCTCTTCTCCCCAAAACTCTACACCTGACTTCTGCATTACTCACATGGTGACACCACGGAATACGTCCTATACTACGAAGGCAACGGTGGTCAAATACCTGTAACCTTCTCATGTCTTCCACTTTCAATGGCCATGTTTCACAGCCATACAGTAGAACAGAGCGGACTGCTGTGCAGTACACGCGACCCTTAATAGACAAACGAATATCACGGCGGCGCCATAGGTGGCGCAAATTGGCAAAAGCCAATCGAGCCTTTTGTATCCGTGCCGAAATCTCATCGGCAACTAACCCACCAGGGTTGATCCTACTTCCCAGGTAAGTGAAGTGGTCAACACACTCAACCACTTCACTCTCTATTGTTAGCCGCGGTGGGGGACCGCTGAAGACCAGTCCTGGAGCAAAAATTTGCATTTGGGTGGTGAAAATCGCATCCCAAACATTCTCAAATTCCCACTCAAAGTGTTCAGAAGACTCTGCATCTCATCAGTCAGCGTCTTCACCTAACAGGACTATGTCATCTGCATATTCTAGATCTAAGGAAAATTCACCTGTGGTCCGGTCAACGTCTTTGTAATTAGGTGACGAGAGGGAAACCTCCATAAGAATATCTATGATAAAATTAAATAAGAATGGGGATAGTGGGCATCCTTGACGGACACCACTTGATGAGTATAGCATGAGTACGGCAACTAAGACTCAAACAATTTATCCACTGTGATATTTTTTTTTGTCCTAATTATTTCTAATATCCATCACAATGGAATCATTCGTATCTATTAACAATAATAGTTTTTTCCACCGACCAACTGTTTAGAAAGGTGAATTACTTTCATATTTGCTAAGATTCCACGTGTTGTCTTTGTTTGGGCGTATAATGCAGATAGTTGTATCCCTAGACCAATCATCGCACACATATTGGATGACTACGCCATCATTCAACTCGTTCGGAATTAGTGGTGTTTGTTTTCCTCATATGCAAGCAAGTTTGTAGGTATTTATCTTCTGCACAATAAAGGTGATGGCGTCTTTGTCTTATATTAGAGAGAGTTGGCGCTTCAATATTTCAAATGCTTACTTCTATTTTTATCTTGGGCATTACTCGGTCAAAGGTGTTCACATGATATTATCCATTTGTTATAGAACCATAAAAAATAGCAGTGTTTAGGTTGGACATAGAATACTTGGTATGAAAAGCAAGTCAGTCAATAAGGTGACTATGGCGTGTATTGTTTATACTGAGCTACCTTCATGTTAAATGATGTAGGATTAGTTTGAAAAGTGTGAGGCTGCGGCTCATTGGTTTAGACAGGTGATTTCCAATCGAATAGGTCACGGGCTCGAAACTCGCTCCGCCTATCGAGGTTTGGGGGGGTTAGGTAGTACCACTACCCCTCACACAACAGATGCGGCTCATTGTCTCTGTATGGATGTGCACGAGATCGTTGAGTGAATTTCAATTTGATTTTGAAAAGTGTTCAAGGTAACCACTCCAGGGCAACACATCCATGAAGTATATTGCTGTTTGTCTTAGTTGTGGAGGGAAACGAAAGTTGTTCGATTGTAGAGTATTCGAAATGATAAGGATCAATAGTTGGAAATGTTTTCTTACATAACTCAAAATCGATTATAATCTTGTATGCACACTATATTTGTCAGCTTGAAATTTTTGAGCGCACTTACTAACCTTCATCTAATTGTGTTCTCTTTTATTTTCCTTCGTTTCCTTTGCACATTTTCATTGCACATGCTGCTGTGAATTGTAGCATTCTAAGCAAGATTCTACTTTGACTTATCTATCTCTACTTTGAGTTAAGTTTTATCTATGTAATAATGCTTTGATCCAGTTATATTTCTAGGCTAATAATTTATTCAGCTATCTTTCTTTATATTTTAACATATTACTGTTAGTTGTTTAATTCTACAATCGATTTGTTTTTCTATGAATTTTTTTTCTTTTAGCATGTACTTGAACATGGGAAAACAGAAGATAAAAGTAAAATTGTTGAACATATCAAAGGTCGTGTTGCTGAGCTCAGTGTACATAAATTTGCCAGTAATGTAGTAGAGAAAGCTGTTGCAAATGCCTCTAGAGTAGAACGTCAATCACTTATCAATGAAGTACTTGAAGATACTTCTGTTGTTTCAACTGGAAATCTTGTACACAATGGTGATCGAAATCATTCTAGTGAATTTAGAGATGATGTTGATGATGATAATGATGATGGTGACGATGATGATGAAAGTGCCAGTGAAGATGAAAGTCTTGATGAACCAAGAGTACGAAGTTCAGTTCTAGTTATGATGATGAAGGATCAGTTCGCTAACTATGTTATCCAGAAAATGTTGGATGTCGCTGAACAACCAATAAGAAAGGAGCTGATGATTCAAATCCGTCCACATTTGAATACATTACGTAAGTATACTTACGGTAAACACATCATCAATAAGATGGAGAAATACTATATGAAAACAAATCAGTTACATTTAACTGTTGGATTGAATTCACCGTCACCACCTCCTCTAGATGGTATATGTTCTTCTTCAGATGTTCCTCAGTCTACTTCAAATTCAACTATTCGAAGTGGTGGGAATACACATGGAAGTTCAGCTGTATCAGTTCTACCCCCGTTATTAACTCCTACAGATATGGCTGTACGAGCTTCAAAGTCTATTTCCATGAATCGTTCACATCACTATGATGTTTATCATAATTCACATTATCATCAATCGAATTTATCATTTTCACGTAATGCCCTACCATCACATAGAATTAAACACAGAGAAATGAATAATACCAATTCAAGTTCAGTTTCTTGTCATCGAAAAACTTCAAATGATGGTACACAAAGTGGTTCTTCGCATACATCGGATAATGCAGATTCATCAAAGACAACGCCTAGAATGCATAAATGTATAAATGATGATAAGTTAAACCATAGTGAAACTGCTGAACTCTGTTCTATAAATAATCATGAGAATCAGAGTTTAGAGGCAAAATCATTAGGTGTTAGTCGGTCATCGTCAACAGTCAATAACAATGACTATTGTAGTCATAAGTCGGATGATGACAGTAAAGGTAAAGACGGGGTATCAGATCATGACAGTAGTAGTAGTAGTAGTAGTAGTGGTAGTAATCAATCACATAAACCAATCGATGAATTGTCCAATCAGTGTTCAGTCAGTGAACTTCAAGTTACAACATCAAGGAAAATTACCACCTCAACATCATGTACTAGTTCTTTTTCTACTACTACTACTACTAGCCTTAAAACTGATGAAAAAAATATAGTTGGAAAGTCAAGAACAATTAATGAATTATTAACTAATGGCAGTGATCATTGATCAAATTTATGTGTAGTACCATCTTTATGGACACCTACCCTTATTAGCTATTTTCCCTGTTCTACAGGTCAATCTTTTTTTTTTTTCGCACTAATTAGCTTTACTTTGTGCAATGTCTTATTTTAGTGTACACCTTCAGCACCCCGACCCTTTCACTTTTAAGACCTTTCTACTCTCTACTTTACACTACTCCTTCCTATTAGTTCGTAAGTGATTTCTTTCATATGTTCCAGTGTGAATTTCGTCCTTTTCTTCTTTTTTTTTTTCAGGAAAAAGAAATAAATTTCTATGGCCTTACTACTTAATTATAGTATGGTGTTGAAGGGGAAATGTATCTCAGCTTCCTGTATAGCGAATTGTACTTTTTTTTCTACTGTACATGATGTCTGTCGATTGATAAATCCATACTTTTCTGCTCTTTTCTTTATTGTATTACTTAATGTACTTTTTCTTAGTTTCATTTTGATTCACTATTACAATCATAACAAGCTTGTTGTATGTTTTCCGTTGATTGTTTACTCTTTATTCACTCACTCACTCTTTTTCTTTTTATTCTTCTTCTTCTTCTTCTTCTTTCAGTATTCCATGTAAACTGTTATGGAAAAATAAAATATTATCTTGGCATATCAAATTGTGAATGAATCAATTTACTTTGAATAATGTTTGTTTTATGCTGACTTTCTTTACATGTTATGTATAATCATCAATTGAGCAATTTCCTACTCATATACACACACACACACAATAGGCGCTTATATTTATTAGATCCTTGGTTTGTTTTCCTTTCTGCCTCTTCTTTCTATTTTTCTGTTTCTGTCTGTAAATCTGTGTATCCAATTGATAAACTGTTACTTACTTCACACTGTGGATAATTACAATTTCTTGATGTGTATGTGTGTGTGTGTGTAGTCTTTTTTGTGTAGCTTAACTAACTTTAATCTATTTTGTATTAATTCCTTGTTGTTATCTACTAATATATATCGTCTTGTCTGGTAAAACTCCTTCTGTGTATGTTTTCTTGCTACAGATCAGTATATATATATGAATCCATACATTTATATCTAACTGAACACAATCTCAGTCCTACCTATCGCTATTTATTATGCATTATGTTGTATGATTTCTTATGTATTATACATACGTGAGTAAATGCTGGTTTGCTCTCATTATCTTTGTATACATTATGTACACCGTCTGTATCACTATTTGTACCCACTGTGTGTGTGTGTGTGTGTTTGGCACTGACACAATCCGTATACATAAATGTTTCCTTGTATTAGACTGGATTTCTTATACTATTGTTTAGTGTCGCTTCCATTACCACTACTTCTGTTACTAGTTCCCTTTAACTTTTTGACACCTGCAGTAAACTATGTACTTTTCTGCTATTTCTAGATGATTGCAAATCATTTGTCCTCATAATTATACATCTATATTCTCTGTTATTATTTCATTTATATATATATATATATATATATATACTCTATCCCATTCTACTATACACGACTTTGGTCTTTGGAATAATTCTCTTTCATCTACCTACTCTATAATCTATGTATTTTGTCGAATGTGTATTCACTTCCCTTGCACAATGTTCATACTATGATTATTATTATTACTATAAATTGGAGGCTATTTTTCCTCTATCTTGGTAATATTAAATCACTCTGTTGATAAAGTTCTATTTATTAGTAGTATTACTTTCTTTGGTATGAGAAGAAGAAAGGTGAACAACCTAATCACATCTCTCCATTAGTAGTATTTTGAGTATTCTACGACGTAGAGCTGGTTCATTGGTTTGAAGGGTCAGTTTAAGCACGATTCAACCTACCAAGGTTTGGGCAACCGGGTATTGGTATCATGAATGTGCACAACGTTGCGAAGTGGATTTCGATGCAGTTCTATTCAAATACACTAGTGTAATGCATTCGTATGTCAGATAAAGCTGAGAGGTTTTCAGTTTCATTTTTTTCTGGTGTAAATCTTGACGATAAAATAGTTTTTTTAAATGACCTTTGAAGAGAAAAGTTGGTATACATTGGTGTATCATTCAAACTTTTACTGTATGGAAGGGAAAAAGAAAGAATATGATATCTTAGTGAATACAAAATGTTTAAATGCACTATATTCAAAACCTGACGATGTATAGTGCAGGCAAGATATGAATGTGTTTGCACAATTTAAGAGCCATAAGATTAATTTTTCTCTTTGTTTATGACAAAGTGCAACTTCAAAGCCGTATTGAACACAGTTTATGAAGAATCCCACCAACCATGTTGAGACTGCACTGGGATACTCATCAATCTTGCTGTATGCAGATCACTGAGAGAGTAATTACGACTTGATTCGAACCAGGTGGTCTGGTCAAGAAAGTTTGCACTTTTAAGAATTTTCATCCTGGGTATGCGCAAATGCTTAATACTATTTGAATTCTGCGAGTTATCTAGTCAGTGACAAGAACCTTTCGATTATAAAAAGTAAACAGGAAAAGTGTGCAGCTGTGCATTCTTATAAGGAGTCGTCATCTGAAGTGGCGACAACCTGTGCTGTTCATCGATTGTCCGCTATCGCATTCCTAAGTAACCGTGTTATAGACGTACTAATGGGCATAGCCCCAGGAACCCATTCACAGAAATTTGTTCCCTGTAGCGCACTTGGCTGACCCGAAATATGCAGACGTCATCGTCCTGTTAGACGAAGACTTTGATACACTGTAGAGTCTTTTGAGTATGTTTGGCTGGCACAAGATTTGCACTTTGAAATCGTCTGCCCCGAAGTCTTTGCTTAGGGAAAACGAGTGAAGTGCATTGACCACTCCACCAACTTGCTGGGAGGCCACTAGTCCCAATTTCATTTCCAATCACTACTCAGTGTCACTTTAAATTAATCTTCAAGGAGCCTCTAAGTTTTTTAGGTAACCACCATAATCATTAAAGCACCATATAACCTTGAACAGTTTAAACCTATTAAAAACAATATTTTCAATCTTAAAACGGCAGGAATTATGAAGGATAGCGGTTTTATACTATACTCTTTAGGATCTCCCTCATCTCAGGTGAAACATTCCTTAGACTCTATTGTTGATACGCATACAATTGAAAGGTCATCTGTAGAAACTCATGGAGATGGATCCTTAAATGATATGAATTTCGCGCACATTTATTATTCATAGATCAAGGGCGTGTATATTTCACTGATCTTAAACTGTTCCTGTGTAACAGCAACGTAACACTCAAATCCTTCCTTAGTAGTTTCATCAGTATCAGAAAATAGTGTGAATACTGAGGATTAGTTCGTGAGCTAATGAAGCTCGTTGTAGGCAGCTATTAAAATATCTTTAATCTGGAAACCTTCGTTAGCACGCCCAGAAGTGGAGGCTTGGGGACTTCCAAATTAAACTAAGATTATTGCTTGAAACCAGAGATAACAGATATATGAACCAAATGCATATCTAATTGAAGCATAGGGGTATGTAGGATGCTTCGGTAAAAATACCTCACCCTATAAAAACTCCGTCTTTTTCTAACTAACTAGGTAACCCGATATTTGCAAATACTCAACGTTGACATTGGATGGACATTGTACTATGTTGCGGATTGGTGGGGGTAAGAGTATGTGAACCATTGAGTTCTGACTCAACAGCGACGTGCTCACCACAGAGCTGATGTTCATGAGTTCGATTGCTAACGAAGTCATGAGTGCATACTGCTGAAAAAGCCCGTGCTAGGATGAAACAGCTGTTCATTGCGCCTACATTTCCGATGATTCTCTAACGGATATCAGTCCGTGTTGATTACTATGTTGAAATCAATAGGTCCTCAACACGTTTGGGGTTTATGAATTGGTTTAGACCTACTGAAAATACTTGTACACCATGGAAATAGGTTGTAAAGTTAGGTCTATCCAGTCTGAAGAATTCACTATAGCGTTTAATAATTAACGAAACTCCAAGTTAGATTTAAATACCAAAGTTTTTTGTTTTAACTAACTAGTATTCTAAAAATATCTGCCAAATAGTTTTGATATTACAACTTGAGTTTTAGGGGGGACAACATCATTCACAAGAAGGCAGATGAGGAGTCTTAAACAGGACGAAACACGTGCTAGATTTCACTGCTAGCCACTGACTTGTCATCTACCCCAAAAGTTTTTATAAATACTATATTAGATTTATTTATTTGATTTAGAAGATACAATGACGCAGTATTATCTACTTGACGACGTTTGGAAATAAATTCAAAGCCCCTACTGTGTTATCCTATAGGGAAGGTACATAGGATCCTCAACAAAGCCGGAACTAAGATGGCATTTAAACCTACAAACTCACTGAGAGATAAGCTTTGTCCGTTGGCTTAAGGATCCTATAGAACTAATTAAGCAAAATAATCTAATCCATGTAATGACTGTAAGAGGTCAAGTACATAGGTCAAACTAGCCGGTCAGGGTCAACTAGATTAGGAGAACAGGAATTTAGATAAATATAGAATGATGGGCCCAAATAAGAGCAATAATCTAGAGGAAAACTCAGCTATTACAATGGATGCATGGATTAACACAATAGGGTGGGATAAAACCATTGTACTCAGGTCCAATATAATTAGGTGAAGAGAGAGAGATTGGTTACTGAATCTTTGTTCATCGAATCAACGACACCCAACACATGTGTTAGAAATGATGCAACATCTATACCAGAGATGTGGAAAGTGTTTACTACCATTAAAAACGAAGAATATAAGGTGATAGGAATATAAAAATCAAATCTCCAAAGTAGTGTGATTACATTGATATGACTATAAGAAATAGTTTGTGCTCGGAACGTCATCGAATGAATATTGCTGTATCACCATTTTATGCAACTAATCGACCTCAGTGCCAAAGTTTACACTCATGTTTCTGTAAATTTTTTATGTACTAATATTGAATTCTTATCGAAATTGACCTTGTTTAATTTGTACTGGATATCGACTGCAACAATTAATGCAGAAAGTCTAAATCTATCT